AGAGATGAGCGGAAGCAGAGAGGCTGCGCACGAAGCCACGAAACTTTGACGACATTTATGGACATAATTAATCATTGAGCTTTTGACCGTGTCAAATGGCCCCGGTGACGAGCCATGACTACGATATATTGCACAAAAACCCTATTCTAAGAGCTACGCATAGACACACAGCTTCGGCATCGTGCATTAGAACCATCATAGAGGTATCAGGTATGACCACGGCGAAATGGCGAGGCATTATCCAGGGTCGGTATTTCTTTTTAGCACAGCGAACGGCGCTCGAACAGGTTGGTGGCAATTCATTATCAGATCGCTTCTACGGAGACAGAACAACCTGACAGCATCCGCTTGAACTCGTGGGTGATCAACAGTTCTTTTTGCGAGTGCACAAAGGCTCAGTGATGGGGTCTGGTCACCTTGAACGCCTGTGGTGGGTGCGTCGGCCCTTCGCAACCGACGAGAGCTAGAGTCCCGTATTGCAAAGGATAGCCTCCTGGAAACCAAAAGCCAATTCATGCTGTCTGCGCCCAATTGCCATTTCCCTTGACTTGAAACTTGGATTGGAACAGTTCAGGGTTGGGCTCCGCCCTTGAATCTGGGCTATGTCCTGAGTGCCGCGTTACGCTCGATCCCTCGCAGGCCACGGTAGCGCTCGCCTTAGCCAGGGAGAAAAAAAGGGATTCACAATACGAGTTGGAGACGTGTCGCTTTCATGAAATGGGCATTCTCCAGATCCAGATCCCTAGCCCCTTGGATATAGATGTGCTCTACCGCATGTATAGGTTGGGCAGTCACTAACTAGTTGATTGCTCGCTTCCACATCGCATGCAGCGCTTTTCCGGAAAGAGGGGTGATCGTCCGTCAATTGAGGCATTAAGACGGAATGGCGAGGAATTCCAGCCTGATCCATTGCAATGCCACGCTTGAGACAATCTTCTGGCGCCCCTGCGTCGATAGACGGGAAGTAGCGCAATTTCCCAGGCTTGGGATGGCCGACCTTTGTTTCTTGAAGGTTTGGGAAAGACGGAACCCCGGATCACTAGAAGGCACTCGGGAGCGGGGAGCGTGAGCACGAGCCTAATGAGCAGTGAAGGGTTCCCAATACTGGCACCAGCATTCGGGCCCCAGGCTGGGCTAGTTGTGTCAGTTGACAGGTAGCGGCCCAAGGCGCGACCCTTTCCACTGGTACTAAGTGTGGATGAGCAAAGGCCCCCAGGATCAGTGCTGCCGAAGCGGGCTGGCGTAGCCTGGTAGTGGTACCCAGTGGGCTCCAGGCGCCGTGGCAGCCTAGGCACCCTGGGCACCACCAACCATAGGCTATGCTTACCGCTAGGCTTAGGTAATGGAGGTCCCTTGGGGGACTGCCTTCCTTCTCTGCCATGCCATCCCCTCCCGTCTTGCCCAAGGGATGCCCAAGCCACCAGTGGGACACCCCGGAAACATCATCAACTGGTCTACAACTACCTAGGTATGTGCTGGTCAGCACCTAACTAATCTGTTGGCGGACAGCCGCTCTTCACCGATGGAATCTTTGGAACGAGCATCAGCGTCATCATCATCATCCACCATCTCATCCCTCTGGTGCTCGTTCCAATTTCTCCATTCATCGATGTCACCTTCACCTTCTCCTCAACCTCAGCATTGTCCCTTTTCGTCTCGCTAACCCGGTAGTCGAGATCACCGTTGGATCCATCCTCTCTCCAGAGTCCAGACAAGACAGCGTTAGCATCTACCGAGCCGGCGTCCAGAAATTGCGTCGAGACGAGATCCGGAACGGGTTTCCTTCTCGAAGACGCCAGGCATGATTTCTGCGCCTTGCTCGTCCTCTTTTTTTTTCAGCCTGCTTACGACAACCGCTGGAACGCTACTCATACCACCTCACTTGAAACCTATGTACCCTGCTCTGTCGCATTCCATCAAATCCCCGTTTTCTACCCAAGACCGCCCCGGATTCTGCAAGGGGTCCATCCTCCCACCCCTGTATCGGGCGTCCTTCGAAGCCGATCAGTGACTGTCTACCTTCTTGGTCGATACGACGTCTTTCTCCTGTCGACTCTAGCAGTGACTCCATTTTACTCGTGTCTCACGAGGCGAATCAGCGTGCACGACCCGAAGTCGATCATGTGTCGCCGTGGGATACGCCTTTAATGCCAGTTTCAATCCTCTTTGCGAACCTGTCCACAAACTCGTGTCGTGGTAAGCTGGTTCCCCCGTTGCAAATTTCGTTCGTACTGCACAAGGACTATCTTCGAGGATTATGCCCAAACAGTCAACTCGATCTTCGCCATCCAATAGGTTACCCTTGGCTGGTTCAACACCTCAATTACATCGCTCTAACCCTCACTTCTCCGACATGCCTACCTCGACAACCACAGCGTCGAACACCAGTTCCCGGAGGACCTCGGGCCAGACTCAAAAGCCTTTTGAAAATGCCCACGTTTTACCACTACCACCACCAGCAACCGAGACGACACCTCCAGTAGATGAGCCGGCACCAAAAAGGCCCAAGCGGGCCCTCAAGCTCACCGCTTCTCAACGTGAGAGGAAAAGAGCTATTGATCGCGAGGCGCAACGAAGCATCCGTCTGAAAACCAAGAATTATATTGCCCATCTCGAGAACTTGGTCAGGATCATGGAAAATGGAGGCACCTCCGTAAATCCCGGCGAGGGCGGTCAGGATCTCCAAGGACAGGCCGGCACCGAGGAAGGGCAAGAAAGAGTTAGAGCGCTATTGTCTCAGCTGAGGCAGAGCGAGGATGAGGTTAGAAGACTGAGAGAGATGGTGACGGGAGTACAGAGGCTTGTGGCTGGCGCTTTGAATCCTGTCGAGGATTCCGCAACGAGGCGACTTACGGGTCCCGATGGTTACAACATTCAGCAACCTGCACCGATGGTGACCCCTTTTCAAAGCGCCATCCACGATCACCCCGAGAACGCCGCCTCCGTTTATTCTCACAGTTCGGATTCATCGTCCCCTGTGGTCGAGCTTGCTTACCAGCCGTTTGACCAACCGAGGTCTGCCGAGGCATCTGCGCTGGGCGGTCTTGGAGCCATTCCTTCGCACCACCAAGATCGATTCGACAGCTTTGGCAGGTTGGTTCCTCCTGTCGCAATCCTGGAACCACCAACTTCGGAGCCGCTCGACATCCCCAAGGAGAGAGTTGAAGGTGAATTGTTCTTCCTGTCAGAACGCGAGGTCAACCGGGTCCTGGCTGGAGGGCACCAGTCCTTCGCCAACCAACCGCTTGACGAAGACATTATCGTCCGCGCGGTATTGCATGGGTGGCGCGATGTCCAGGACCAGTATCTTCTCGACAGAGGCTGGCAAGCCCTCAGGAGCATCGACCAATCCATTTTCCGCGAATGTGGCGTTGTGGAGAGAATGGCAATCCTCCACATGATGCGGCTGAAGCTGCTCCATCAGAGCAAGATGAACCCGCAATTCCTGGCCCCATTACCACCATTCTTCCAAAGAGGCCCGGCGGAAGATCCCGAGGTGTTGGAGAGGACGCCCGTCATCGAGCACTTTATTTGGCCAGGCATGCGGGCCTGCCTGTGTAAGAATGCGACGAGGTATATCAACAACAAGTTCTCGGATTCGTTCCGGCACTCACTCAAATTCTTATGGCCCTACAATGTCTCGGATGTTTATGCGAGAGATCCTCTCACCCAGCTATACTCGATCATGCCGGAATTCAAACGACGGGAAGGAGACCTCCGCTCGTGGACCATGAGAAAGGATTTCTTCGCCAATGCAAGTGAACTGATCGGCGCGATACCGGTCTATGAAGCGCCTTTGAACCGACCCCTGATTCCGGTCGGGTCAGTACCCATGCAACCAGGTATGAGGGCGGGACAACCGCCTCGGCGGATGCTTCAGCAAGCGCCTGCTGGGACCATACCGAAGCAGGAAGCCGACGAGTCACATATGGAGACGATGCCCGCACCTGCCCATGCGCCCACTCCCCATCATATCGGCGGGCATGCCCCAGTAACGACGACGAATGTACCGGTGACACACGTGCCGCATGCTGCTGAGGTTGAGGCCTGGCTAGGAGATCCTGATCTGGTACCGCAGTACTGGACCATGGGCCCTGGCATGGATGTAGGATTTGATGGGGTTGCTCCTCAGTGGTCGAGCGTCCCACGAGGGTTTGGAGGGTGATTTAACGACGGCGTTGCCAAGTCGAAAGCTGTCGATCTCTTTGTGCATGCGCAGACGTCATATTGAATGTATCGTTATTTAACTACAGGCCTTGCTCTAGAATTCCTTTCCTTCCTCTTTCTCGTCTTGTTGAAGATCTGCGGCTTTCTGAGCGCGTGGCCGGGAAATATCTCGGGATCCGCAAAGCGTATCAGTTGCCTTCCTCTAGCCTTGGTTTCCGCACTTTCCCGACCAAGTGCGACAAATCCGTTTCTTGATAATGAAGCGGATGACATCAGGATTGCCGAGGGCTGTCACTGTTTCTTCACTGTTTCTTCTGCGGCTGAGGTTGAGGCGTCACACGCGACGTCTTCAGATATCGCTCAGTCAATCACGTGGCAGGTATTTGATAAGTCGCATGCAGCCCGCTGACATAGCAAACATAATGGCTGGCATGCTGCATGCCATTCCCGCTTAGGCTCTTCATATATCCAGTCACCACAGTTCAGCGGCTGTCGACACATTATCTGAGCAAATGCCCCATTCAGACTCCATTAGCAGAACCTGCATGCCCCCCAACCCCCCCAGATTTCAGTCCTCACCCATGCGACCCATTACCGCCTTGCGCAGCTGAGAGGCTTCGACGGACTGACACAGGCAATCAATGAATGCGTGCCCTCGGTTGCCAATTTTTTCCACCGTCCCAATCTTCCTGTATCGGAATCTATCAGAGCGCTTTCATTTCATCTTTCCAGCGACAATCAGAGAGGGGCTTCCCCTCCCCTTCCTAGTCCTAGGACGAATAAAGCTACGCCGGCCCAATCCGGCCACAGGGGGCCATTATTAATCGTCCATCATGAACCTCCTCACGCGTAAGACTTCGAGCAAGTCGCTCTCGGAGAAGGAGAACAGGGGCAGAGGTCCCACGGGTCAGGATGCTGGTGCGGCGGAGCGCATTCAGGAAGACACCAAACCCTCACTCTTCCGCCGGTTGAGCAGGAAAACCAGTCGATCGAGGGAGAGGGAGGGTCATGGTCAGAATGAGGCACCAATCCCACAGCCGATCGAGGTGAGTTTGACATGTTATGTTGCCCTGGCTTGTCTGGACCTGGCCGCGTATTTTCTCGCCAATCTACGATGAGGCTGACATGAAGGGTACAGGCACGCCATGAGCGAAAGGCAGTGGCTGAAGATGTGGGTGACAAAATCCCTTCATCAAAGGTCGCCGAAGTCATGCCAGAGCTCGGCCACGCCGACACCAAGAAGAAGCATTCAACGAAATTAAACACATCGCCTCTTGCAGAGAAGCGCGAGACGCCCCATCCCATGGATCCAGCCACGGAGAAGAAAGTTGCCTCGCTTCCCAGGAGCAATTCCGAAGGGTTGCAATCACATCTCGAATCAGGTGAGGCTGACGAGTCTTTGGCTAGGCGATCATGAGTCTAACCCTCAAAGGTGCACACGATCATCCCAAAAGCGACCGCCGCTCTAGAGGCTTGACAAAGGAAGACGTCGAGCATCTCTTCTCCGGCGCGCCGCAATTTGTCCTCGAGAAGGGTCGGAGAGGCCGGTGCTTCCCCCAAGCTTTTTTTCCATGGAACAATGACCTAGAGATATCTGATCTCCAGGACCGGAGATATATTAAGCATGAAAGCTTCGCGCTTGCGACGTTACACGCCCACTTGCCCATCCCTGATGAAGTAAACTGGAAACCCGGAATGGCGGCCCCCTTTAAGCAGCAAGGTCTCGAATTGGGGAAACGGCCCATGTTCGAATTAGGGATCTTTGAACGACCGAACATGTTGGGCATCGAAGGTCGGGAGCCAGGTACCGTAGGAATGCGCTATTTCCTGGAAAGGCCTGTCGCTGATGGCATGACGGACGAAAAGATCAAGGAGCACGGTAAAGATGTGGAGGTTGACCTAGCCCTTGCAAATGCGCCCGCCATGGAGGCCTTCAAGATGCTCGCCCTGGGCAAAGATAATGAGGAGCTGAATGCGAAAATCGGCAAGCATGCTCCAGCCCAGGAGAGAGCCAGACTGATCAGAGAAGGCCCGCACGCGTGGAAAGCCGTGGGTGTCAGGGACATTAGCATGGTGGTCCTGGCGGAGAGGATGGAGAAAATCGGCGAGCTGCGCGATCACGTCCTTAATGCGGGCTGGCGAGTCACGGTCCTAAATCACATGGACGCTGCGGATCTTTATGCCCATCTCTTCAATGAACTGCTATATCCACCTCATCGGGTGCCATCAGAGGCGAAACACGGCAAGGCCTCTCTGAAGATCCAAATCGAAGCACTGGTCAAAGTCCTCACCACGCCTGGTGCCTGGCTCGATTTGAGCGTCCCCGAGTCCAGATTGCGGTTCGGAAAAATCCTACACAGCCGGACGACGCGATACGACCATGAAACGGGTCTGTTCATTATCGATCCGGAGCGCAAGTGGCTGCTCATCCAGATTCTGTTGGCCGTCGAATTGGTCATTCGACTTGACGCGGCATTAAGATTGGGTGTGGCACTCCATGCCGAAAACTTTGAGATTAGCAGCGAGGAAATTCACCATTTCAACAAATTACGCAACCTCAAAGTCGATTGGGATCTCGTGGCGGCCAGACGGTTTCTGTTTCTCTCCTATGTCAAGAGGATCGAAAGGGGGGGTTCGGCTCTGGTATCGCCTGTCCAGACTTTAGAGCGACCTCTGACTCTTAGACAGAAGTCGTCCGCCGAACGTCAGCAGCATCATGAGCAGCGGCCGGCGCATCTCAAGCAGAAGTCCTCGGCCGAGCGCCATTCACTGTTTGGCGAACTCAGACACAAGATAGGCTTGGGCGGAACAGACTATGAACCACACACAGTGCTCGATGTCTGTGACGTGGCGATCATGTCTCGACAACCGGCCGTAATGGTGGACGGCCTCTTCCGTTTCGCCACAAACATTGGGTGGCCACGAAGCCACCAGCTCCATGAGTCCCTCAAGCACAAACTATGCACGGCTTCCGCGGAAGAGAGGGAGAAGATGCTCATGGATGCAATCGTCTGTCCCGACAACAACACCTCCGCGACCAATCCTGCCAACTTGACACCTTCGCTTCAAAGTTTCAACGTTGATCTACATGCTGCTACACCTACCACCGTCGGGGGCTGGCTCTCTCACAGCTGGCTCTCTGGCATGATTCTTCCAGGCACCTCGATCTGCGATATACTGATGTCCACGCTCCTCGAGAACGATCCCAACCCGCAGACTCTGCGGGATCTGGGCTCAGCCAGCCTACCGCTTCGAGGATGCGGGTTCATTCTCGACGGGTCCTCATGGTGGTCGAAATCCTGCATCGTGGGACGGGTCATGGCACCCATGCGGGGCGCAAAGGAGTCCATGGGCTGGATCTTCACGCCCAATTTCGTCCCCTTGTATGAGAACACTGGAACGCCGTTCAGCAACCGCTGGGTGAAGGTGAAATGTTTCCCTGTCATCACGGATCGCGATCGGCCTAGGATATTCGATGGCGACAGACTGGCCGAAGATTCAACTCCACTGGGCAAAGGCAAAGGAGGGATAATGGGGACCGAGTTTAGTATGGTGACGGATCACATATTGGATGACGGACGTGCACCGGAAGTGACAGTCAAAGATATCAAGGTCCACTTATCCAGCTCAGATGTCACACAGACGTCTTCAGAACACCCCTTGTCAGCATGGGCCCAGTTCGATATCATGCTTACAACACCACCGATCTCTCCTTCTCATCCATCGTCCGCAGACACGTCGGCTTCCGAAACGGCGCAGCTCCAGATCCGCTACGGCCTTGATCGCGCCGTGTATTTCGTAACCTCACACCCGTGCCGTCTCCCACACGGCCACGCCACATTCAAGCCGGGCTCAGCGGATGCACACTATGAACAACAACACCCAAAACACATACGGGGCGTGACAGAACACATCCCAGCCCATCCACTGCACAAGACATATCCCTACGTAACGAAGACACTGGCGGAGATTGTACAGAATCCGGGGCTGACTCCCCCGAACCCGACGAAGACGGGCGACGATGGGGTGTGGGTCATTGACGCACGGAGCCACGGTGGTGATTCTGCGCATAGTTCCCAGAGCAATCTGTGTGCCGCCGAAACACCTACTACAACTCCTTCAACACCATCAGCAACAGCAACAGCCGGCACCATCACAGTCACATCTCCCACCGCCAGCGCCCAACCTGACTTATTCCTCCAGCACTACCTCCACGGCAGCAGCGACCCGCAACTCTGGAAAAAGGACATCCTCGTCCGGGCGTGGTGCGCCGAAAAGGGCCGCAATGCCATCGTCGCGAGAGTCGGGCGCACGTGTCTGTCCTGCGCGATTCGCGAGGCCAAGGCACTCGAGATTGCCGTAATTATCAGGGTCGGGATCAAGGAATGAAACGGATTCTGTCCGTCCGTCTGGCTCCTTTCTAGCGGCGGACGTGGGCTGAGGTGTGATGACGGTTTGTTATTATCACGGCCCGCTGGGCGGGCTGGGTGGGTGGATGTATAAGGGATGGGGGTTCGATCGAGGACAGCGAGGAAATGGCGAAAGGGCAAGCGGAGTGGTTGGTGACTCAAACAGGCCTTTTTTTCGGCGTGGTTCTCAAACGCATGGTATGATGTCGTCGCTCTGCCGCCGCTGGTCAACTCACAATCATTGGATATGCACTGGCAAGGCAAGGCAAAGCAATGGAAAAGAAGGGGAAATACACAACGATATATATGGGGATACATGTGTGGGCCGGTTGATAATGGTACGCAGCTTTCGATGAATTACATGAGATGAGACGAGATGGACGAGCCAGGACATGGGAACGAGAAGCATTTATACTACCGACTCTGTACAGGGAGCCAAGTTCTGGGGTCGTTATTTACTTCCTTCCTCCCGCTCGGTCGGCGGATCGAAATCTTTTTTGTGTTGGAAATGTCGTGTCGCGATGTATGTTGCTACTGTACTGTACGTAGTTATCGGCACACCTATTACTCCCTACGTCCCTGGGTAGGCGAGAAGTATATCCAGCCAGTGTATGGAGCCTGTCCTGTCCTGTCATGTCCGTTGGATATGTAGATGTCGACCTGCTCGTCTGCTCACACAGTCGAGGTCGAGGCAGAGTTGAAGGGAGAGAGGTAGTGCCGGTCCGGTCGATGCCTGAGATGCCCTCTTCTGAAGCTATATTCTCGTAAGCCTCCAAGTGAGTCGGTGATAAGCCCTGCTGTCCGCCAGGAGCAGCTAGGAGACAGGCCTATTTGAAAGAAAAAGAAAAAGAAAAAGAAGAAAAAGAAAAAGAAGAAGAAGAAGAAGAAGAAGAAGAAGAAGAGGAGGAGGAGGAGGAGGAGAAGGAGGAGGAGAAAGAGAATAATTTGGGTACCTACCGCTCAATATGGTAGTATTGGAATGTCGTTTGAGGACATGTCAAGGCGCAAGTTGGCTTGATGCACAAAAGTGCGTGAAAGGTCTCTGAATTTCTGGAGAACGGCGTCCAAAGTCCGAGGCTTCTGGCGTGTGCTGTAGACGATACTGCGTGATCTCGCAAGAAGTAGCAGATGGCACTGGAAACGGCCACCAACATTATCGAGGATGACGTTTTCGGTTTTCTAACCTGCCAACCATTCTCTTGCCACGCCCATCTTCCAGCGAACAAGAGGTGCTCCAGAACAGTCCGTGGTAGATGTTGACGTAAGCGACCACCTGCCGATGGGTAAAGGTGGGCAACAGCAGGACAATGCCCTTCGAAGGCATGAGAAGCGCATGCACGGACCCAGGTTGAAGTGAGCAAGTATGACTGAGTGGACAAAGTTAGAGAGACCGATGGTTTGAAGATCCGAAGCCCCCAAACCCAGCTTCCTGGCACCTGGCACCTAGAATACCACCAGATCGTCAGAACAAGGAACTGTCGTGTCGAATGATGAAGATTGTCCCCATCCTGTGTTCTCAGGTTAACGGAGGCGCCGTGAATCTAGAAGTCTAAGTCCGTCTGGCTTGTGGCCTCTGACCCAGTGTGTAACGTTGATCCAACACGTCTCGTGAACGTAAACAAGAGTCTAGACTCTGCACCGCAAAACAGTTGATTTCACTTGAACATACCTCGTATGGGCAACGTTAGGTAACGTGCAATTTTGGGTCATGAACGTTCCTCCGAAACGGGGTGGTCATTTCGTTAGGCTTTTTCGGTACCCTAAGTAAGTTCTCGATGGGTTTCCAGGTCCCGGATTATAGTATCGCACGACGAGAAAAGGTCCCGTGGGTTGTTTTGTACAGCTAGAGCTCCCACTTTTGGGTATTTCCACGTTTGGAAGGGGGCTAGCAGAAATATCTGCCTCAGCGAATCCTGCGAGGTGAGCAGGTGTGAGGAGGAACTTGTCGGAAGTATCCAAAGCGGTAGGGTTTAATGCCCAGTGCTGTTGGAGGCGAGGAGGGTAGAGAAGGGCACTAGCTGCATGATGATGTTCTAGACCAGGGAGATCATCCAACTTTGCGATCGCGCGAATACCCTGATGTAGTTAAAGACTGGGTCCCAGGCAGGGACCAGGAAGATTCGGAGGTGTACCGAGTAGTGACACCGCGAGACCGTCAACCAGTCCCCCGGTCTGGTGAGTTCAACGGCCGTTCGCCACGATTGCTGGAGACAGGGAGAGGTTGAGAGGATTCGTGAGAGCGGGGCCAGCGTACGGAGTACGGAGACCTATTTGTAGGTAGAGAGTAACGGGCTTAGCTCCTCTGACTGCTTCAATGGGCTAGGTCTTGGGAAGAGAAAAGATCTGGCCTACCACTCCGGTTATAAGTTTCGGAGTCACTCACTGGCCTCGGCGTCGTACTCGACGAGTCCCCAGCAAGGAGACATCTTGCGATCGCAGGGCAGGCTGTCGAGAGCCATGACTGCGCCGAAGAGGAGGGGGCAAGGAAAGAAATAATAGTACTCGGTGATGGAAGTTCCAAGTTGCCTGTGGCGGGCTGGTCGGTCGAGAATCGAGATTAGAACTTGGTCAAGACGCGTCAGAAATGGAACCGTCCCCGACTTTTCCTCTGCGGCTCGTACAATCGCGCCCTCGCTCCCTCGCTCCCAGATCTTCGCAACTGTCTTGGTCGTGTTCCCTTTTTTGGAAACAGCGAGATTATGCCCTCAAGGGTTAGCCCCGTACGAGATTGTCCTCTGGTCCTGTGGTCTCAAACAGAAAAGAACAGGGGAGCATGGGCCTCCGTGAGCCCTTCGAATTCTCGCCACAACTGCTCAAGACAGGCACCAACCGACCATGTTGTTTCAAAATGGGCCCCCAGATGCTGGAACGAGGATTGACAAACCCGGTGAGAAACTGGTGCATGATAATATCCAGATCTGGTCCCAATCAGAATCGTGGCCGCCTGGTGAGTACCCCTGGGAACCCGCTCTAGACATTCAATGATGGGATTTCTCTCTGCTACGTGAACTCGACTGGCTCATGCCCGACGGCTTATTGGATGTCCTTTATTGCTTGCCATGGCTGCAAGCCACACTAGCCACTTCCCTTGTGAGAGATCAGATAGCATTCGGCGTAAACTGGAACCAGAGGTTGGTGGTGATCGACGAGGTGCACATGATGGCGACGGCTTTACGGAGGGATTGCCCATGCCGTCCTCCTATACACTGAGGCACGTATCTAGGTATTGTCAGTCGTTGAGGAGAGACATTCATCCTAGGGGTCATTCCGTTGAGCTGTCTTCTCAATGGACAAGCCTGTTTGGGCTGAGCTGCTGTGAGGATTTGAAATATTTGGACTTCGGCGTCGAGACGACTGTTAAAAACAGAAACGGCTCACCGGTTCGCCCGTCCTGCGCGGGCATAGTCCCCCGGCGACAAACCGCTCTGAAAACTGTTTCAGACGTCTTTTCAGCTATTACCACCGGGGAAACCAAAACGACACTTTTTTCGTGAGAGACCAAGGAGATCATGCGCCAAGTACAGTACTCGGTGTGCAAGTACGAGAAAACGATGTTTGAACAACCTGGCCTGTTGGCCTGTGACAAACGTCGTGCATCCCTTCATGTCGATCGCTTGTTAAAACGCCATGCTGGGACTGCACGCATTGTTCGGCGGCAGATAGGGCACAACACCGGTCGCTGTATGCCCTCTTCAAAGCCCATCAGCGGGCTGAGTTGACGTTGGGGCGGAAAGCAAAGTAGAGTTCGACGGTTCCAGTGCCTCGTGCCAGGGCTTCCTGCAGCCGAACGTCGGGCATCAACAAGTCTCTCGCTTCTCCCCCATTTTGGAACGGCGGAGGCCATCTGAAATCTTAGTATGTAGGAATGGTGGTCTGATGCGTGAATCTGCCACCACCAGCCCACTAAACTGTCTGTGTAAAACTAGACGATGAAGATTCTGGAGGAATGGCCCACCAGGCAATAGATAGACAAACATAATAGTCATAGCTGGTCATGAGCACCAAGAAGTCTGATACTGGCAGAGGAATGGTCAAATAACATTGCTTCTCGAACAGACTTCAGCTTTGCGTCCGAGGAGTTTCCTAAGCGAGCAGTTAGAAAGAGAGCGCGAGAGAAATGGAGGGAGACAGAATCGTCGGAGAAGCACCTTGCCCTCTTCCGACAGCATGAGTGGAGGATCTCTCTCAGCTCAAATTTGAGCCCCTACTCCGGCATGGATAAGCGGCAGAAGACGCTTTTGTTGCAGAATTCCAAGCTGAAGTATCACTGCACAGAGGTCAGTTTCTCGCAAAATGAGGCGGTACTGGGTACCGACTGCAAAGATCGACGAGGGAACTGCGCTCCAACTTGCAACCCCTGCCATGTCACTCTGCCGAACTCCGAAGCAGGTACCGAGTAAGCAGTCAGAGTTATCTAGTAGTGGTGGTGGTAGTAGTAGTAGACATTCTCCCTGCGTACAACTAGTTGGTCATCGGCAGAAAAGCCTATTGAAATGCTGCCAAAAGGGACCAGCAATCTCGGAAAGCTGCCATTGATGCCCCTCCCAAAATTGGAGTCTTGCATACCGAGACTTGGAAGCGACCATTTGCCATGATTTGGCCATGCGAAATCAACCGCTATGGCGAAATCGGGTAAATGGGAGAACAGCATTGCCCATTGTAGTGCGATACGGTGCTGGTTTTGGCGCCCTAGTAGATTGAAGCCCAAACAAGCCACCTGGTAAGATGCCAGCGCCATGGTTGTTCAGAAGTTCTTGGAGGGAGAAAAAAGAATTGCTGATCATCCTTCGGTGGTCTCTGCCTGTGTCTCATCCGCACTGGGAGAGACGCGTTTGGAGTGTCTCAGTTGGTGTGTTTTCTGTTGGAATCAGCATGAGACCCAAGAATCCGACTGTGTCCTCTTTGAACACAGTGACGACAGAAGCCATATCAAACTGGCAGAGAGTTCTGCATGCATTTCTCAGGCATCCAGCTTTCAAACTTCCCACTACGTAGTCCAAACTCTCACGATAGGCATGATCTTCTGAGAATAAGGTGAAGGTAATCGATTGATCGAGTACTCGCCTTGATGCACTCGGCGTCCTTCGAGGGAGCGCGTTGTTTCAGCGACCGAGTCCACTCTCCTCGCGTCTGGGTAATAACCACACCAGCCGCTGCCGCAGAGTGGGCGATGTTATCATTGCCACCCTTCAATGTTACTCGCCTGGGAGCTAGGCGCCGCAATGTGCTCGCTTCACGTGGAAAAAGACAGCGCTAACCTTGTGGATGCAAAAAGGTACAAGGGGTCAAAGGGGTTTCCAGGCGGCCGTAACAGTCGAAACTCCCGATCATTCCATCAATAGGCAGGTGATCGGAGGGCATTTCCGCTCAGTCTAGAATTCCTGAAGGTCCTCGGAAGACCAGTTTCCTGGGCAATGGGGAGCCGCATCAGAACCCGTACGTCTGGATTCGCTTCCCCCCTTCTGCTGTTAACGGCGGGCTTGCTGCGGGATGGTACTCGTAACCTCACAGGAGTTCGCCCCTCGGATACGAGCAATGGTTGGCCTTTTGTTCCGTACACCCTCCGCATTCAGATGGTGTCCAGGCTAAAAGGAAGATTTAAGCCGCTATGGGCAGTGATAGTCGCCATGCTAAGCGAAGAGGTCAGTGAAGGGAGAGAACTTTGTCCGACTTGCCTTCTCATTCTGCATCGAAACCACTTACAGGGCTCCTTTAGACGCTTGCATAGTTTCTCACTAACCTGGATGCGTCTATTTCGGCCAGCACAAGGCTTTGACCGAGTTTGATGGATCCTGTGGACCCAGGACCCAGGTTCAACAACCATGGCTCCAAGTCCATGCAGTCGCACACACGCCACTTTCTCGGTTAAGAATTTGCTGACAAAGTGGACGTACCCAGTCCCGCCTGGTTGGTGACGTGGGTGGCGGGTGGCTATTCCATTGCGGCCCTCGGGCGGATATTGTTGATGCGCCTCCAGTAGGTACACCTCCCGGCTTCATGCAAACGTGGCATTTCTTGTCCAGTCTTTTGTCTGCATCTTTAGCCGCCCGCCCCCAAGCACCGCTCGACTTCGCTGTATATTTTCGCTATAGCGACGTCGGGGCAACTGCAACCGTCTCGTCTCAGTTAGACTGACGAGGCAGACACGAATTGTCGTTTTGGGCATCAACTCGTCAAGTAGGGGTCCCACCTGCCACGCGCCCACTGGGGGCGCTCTTTGGATCGAGTTAGAGTGGGTGGAGTGGAACAGAGTTTGTTCAACACTGCTTCAACCTCCACATTTGCCATCACACATTGATGGCCGCTCTTCAAATCACGACTTGAGTGGAGGATGCTGGTCTCTCAACCGAGCCATCCGTACCACCTTTGTCCCCCATGAAAGCCACACGACCGGCTTCCAGTGGCGCTAGCCTTGAGGATCAGCCAAGTGTTTGTCGGGGCTAGGTACTGGTGACCGCAGCTCAGTGGAGAGTTTTCCAAGGCGTTTTCGCTCGACGCCGAAGCGACATTGAAGATCATTGCATGAAGTCATCCGTCTGAGCCGGCTAGCTTGCTGTGAAAATGCCAGAGTCTAGCTTCTGAAATGCCCCCCCGTCGAGTACACGCAGCGCTTTGTCGTGGTCCTGTCCGTAGGGGAAAACGTAGTTTAGCTTTCTACTTCCGACCGGTAACGCAGTACTCGTGGCTAACAGCAAAGATCTGGCCAGAAGTCGGATCGCTGGGGCCAGTGGTCGCCAATAGCGCACCTTCCAGGATTGGTCGTTCAATTGAGTGCCCTAGGGTTGCGCCGATTCGTATTTGTCGTTTTCTAAGAATCTTCTGCCCGGGTGCCCTTTCATTGGTGGAATCGTCGGTGCAGATCGGTCCCCAAAAGCGAACCTCCTCGCAGCTTGTCTCGGCACAACAGGCAGGTTGAATGATGGGCATCATCGTTGACCGGCTTTGACCAGGTACCGCCCTTTACCTTTGAGCCAGGCAAACTTAAGACATGGTCAGCCGCACCACCGGGGTCTCAGTCAAATCTCCAGATCTCCAATGCCTCGTTTTACGGGCGTTCTGGACCTTTGGAACGCAGATAATCGAAGTGTGGCTTTTCTCCGGAGTGGATCTGACTGATAGTACCTTGACCATTGAGTAGCCCATAGTCTCCAGAGGGACCCAAGCTCTGGCGTAAGAATTTGGGGGGGTTTTTTTTTCTTGCATCTTGCCGGGGCCAGCCCCGGGAGGAACCTCGTGCTGCTCACCATGATCAGCCAGCTGCACCCTCTGCAAGCAACTTCGTCAACGCCAATGGCGCAAGAGACTGGTCCGGTATCTTTCTTCCGCCGAGGACTATTTGGCTCTCGTGGCATTAATCGCCTGTTGGGACCGAGAGACGAGCTGGGGTCCAACCGCCCATACGAGATTTTGAATCATGCCTCTTCCGCACACATTATGAGAGTCATATACCATCCTGTCATGCATGTTGAAGGCGCTTGTTTCTCTCGTTGATTCGTGTGTTGCAGATATCTGAGTCTTTCTGCGGTGGCACGCTTTTTCTTCTGACAATATTTTACGGATGATCCATGAGGGAACCCAGTCCTTGCGAACCTCAGTTCCATATCCCTACCACTGGTCGATCTGCTGTAGTCAGTGTCTAGTGTGAAATCCCGGTCTTTCCCCATCAAGCGCTCTTTGTTGGATCTGACGGTCCTTTTAACTTCTCTTCATCTTCTGATCTGGACGACGGAACGGCTAACAGCCCTCTCCACTCCCTGTACGATCAAACGAGTCGTCTCGAGTCTTCGACTCTCGATATGATCGCTTTTCGCTGATCCCGAAAACGACAACTTGAGGATCACCTCCGAATCTGCTCCCCAGGCAATATCCAGTCAGCCTCAGCATTCAGAGCGTCGTCGGGAAAGCATTTCCACACCTCCATTCTTCGAGAACTGGGAGATAGTACCGCGGCGAAACTGGTACAGCGCGACAGACCTTGGATCCGCGAGACTTTGATCTGGGTGACTTGCATTAGAGGCTTCCATTGGCAGGGCTGAGCAAGCCGTTACTAAAATCCACGCTGAAACCATCAATCAATTGGCGACAAATCAACTCTGTTGGGATGTCGATTCATGTCCCACGGTACTAGTGATGTTGTTTGACTGCCCCGCTCAACAGCTCGACGAGTATTGTGGTGGGCGACAAGAGATCCGAAGGAATTATTGCCTAGCCTTGGTTCGCCGCAGGTAGTGCTCATCTGTCGGCGCAAGAGATGCAAGAGGGAGGATATAATTTTGGGGATTTCCCAGAAAGTGGTTCTGCGCAAGACCAGATTGGCCCTGAGGCTGAGCAGTTCAACATGCCTGGTTTGATCCAGAGTGGTAACTCATCGCCCAATGTTCGCGACATGGTGGCAGAAGGACCTCCTTCGTCGCCTGCCGATAAGAAGAGAAACAAACTGGGATATCATCGCACTGCAGTCGCATGTGGTCAGTCTCTGTATTCGACCCCTCTGCGCGCGAGTTTCTGACCAAGTACTAGTCCATTGTCGACGGCGCAAGATCCGCTGCATCACTGAGCTCAATGATCCAGCAGGTCGATGCCAAAATTGCATTCGCATGAAAAAGGACTGCGTTTTCACACCAATTGACCCACAGAATCCTCCGACCGCAAAAAGGCCACGCTCAGGGGTAAAAGCAGCGGACGGCCTAGTCAACGAGGCAGAGGCCTCGGTCTCTTCGTCCTCTCCAGGTGGCATTCTCAGGAGCAGCTCCATGGAACAAATGAACTTTGAGAAGGATCCTTTAGACACTCCTCCGTTGCCCAACGAAAGTCCCGGGTTCCCTGGTTTACACCAAGGCTCCAGATCTGTGTCTGTCCATGGTAGGAGCAAGATTTTGGTTGTGTCTTCAAGTGCTGATTTCATCCAGGCTTCGACTTCACGCATGGTTACGATCCTAATCAACTCCGGCGTCAACACCAACAACAACAAATATTCGTTCCGTCTCCATACTCACCGCGGATCTACGACGTAGATTCGATGAATCCTCAGTTCTATCAGCACCAGCAACACCTCTTTGGACACTCGGTACCCACACCATATTCGTCTGCGTTTGCGCCGGGTTCGCTACCTTCCACGATGACAACGGTGTCCCAAGAACAAACCTATCCGTACCAGACGTCGGCTTCAAATGGCGCCTATAACTGGGCACATCATCCCACGAGATCAATGTCATCTGACCAAACGGACGAACTGTCATCTGGCTTCCCGACTCCCTACCGAACAAATACGTACCCTTCCTTTGAAAGGGGGATAACAGGCCAGATACAGCAACTACCTCCGACCAGTTCGGGCCTTGTGCCAGTGGGTATAGAAAGTCAGCACACTTCAATGCATCCAAATTTCCGAGAACGCACCTCATATCAAACCATGCAGGCCGATGGGCAATGGACTGCTGGACACCCTGGTCCAGTGCAGCAAATGCCTGGCTCTGTCGAGAGCCCCTATTCTCAGGGCTGGTACCAGCCGCATCCGGGGTTGGCAAACATGCGACAAGGGGAAGAGCAACCTCATATACTGCCGTCGCAGAAGCATAATCCACGAGAGAGTCAGCATAAGCCCGGTTGAAGCTGACTAATTTCATCACTCACAGCAGCCTTTCATTTAGTTACCATAAGTCCTCTCAAACCGATCGGCCACACCAAAACGTGCCTAAGCTCTAGCAAACCCAACCCACATCGGTCGTTCCTGAGAAGATGCGAGTGGAAGTGTATTCTAGATGTGGATATCAGTGTTGGCTGACGGCCAGGGCAGTGTCGGTAATGGAGTGTTTTGACCCGTCGAGCGAAGAGCCGAATGGGAATGATTGCTGCGACAAGTTGCGTTGGGCTTCTGCCCTGACCCCATTTGCAACGAAATCGGCTTTGGCCGTACAGAGTCGATTGGTTATATCATATGGGCGGACTAGAGAAGGGGAGCGCAGGAGTCAGGGGAGCAATGGGAGGATGTACCCTTGGTTCTTGGCGCACCACGCAAAGCGTGTTCGTCGAAGGCTGCGGACAGAACGAGTTGGGCTCGCATTGTCAAAGGCCACACTGACCAAAAAGGTGCCGGTTCTTCAACTGCAGCGAGTCGCATCTGGCGTTGAAATCCTCCATTGCTTTCGACACTGTCGCTCTGAGATTGATCTTTGTTCTGGCGCAACCTCGATCGCAAAATCTTCAGCTGTGAGGACTCAAAATCTTATACCTTGTTTGCTGCGAGCCGTCCCGCCTTATTCGAGATTTCGTCCACAAGCCTACCGCCCAGTCGTTCGACATGAACACTCGTCGAGGATTTCGCCACAAACACCGACGAAGCATACTGAAATGATTGTTAGCACCAGATGCCTCATTGGACTATGTCCAGTATACTTCGACGTCCATCCAGCCAAAAAGTTTTGGCGCAAGGCGGGCGCTTCTGGGTTTTCGAAGTGCATCAAACGTGCTAGGGCCGATCTGAACTATGGCTTCCGTCTCCTAAGTTACCGTCTTCCAGCGCCATTATCTGAGCGACGGAAATACCACCAATCGGCAACCTAGAAGGCTGCGTGGAAGCGCTGTCAATCTCTGGAATGCAGCCCGTGAAGGGTGATGGGTCAAATCATCAGCCATCAGACGCTTCACACGTCGAAAAGCAGCTGTCTCTGTCCGCAAGAATGTCGTGGGCAAGAGCGAACTCCACCTGAAGGTCTGGACAGCGACTCCTTTCGCGAGCCTCTTTACAAGCCGAATTCAACAGGCGCTCGCAACACCAGTTTGGTAGGATCTACGACCTCCATCGTTCATCTCAGGGATGGCTAGGAAACGTGCATGGAGGAACATGTGGATCCGCCTCGTCGCTGGAGAACACCGGATAAATGAACCAGCCTCGGAGAAACGAGTTTCTCTACAGTGGCAGAATGAATAGATTGTACTCGGTGGGGCACAGGGTGTTCGTGGTTACGTAGGGCGTTCACGGGAGTCGACGGTTATGTGCCACTCCGAAGATGAAGGGAGGATCAAGAGCTGTACGAAGAGGGCGCAAACAGAATCCAAATCCCAGTCAGAGAGCGTGAACACTTTGGCGAATGAATTGTGAAGCGAATTGATCGTGTCAAGTCTCGACCCCGGTCAGTGGAGGCACGATTCGGCTTGCGGCTTGTGGCATGCAGTAAGCTTGTGGCTTGAACGAGATCCTGTAAGTAATCACGTGACATAATCACGTGATCTGCGCCCTTCCCTCTTCTTTTTCTCGCCTCATCAACACTCTCTCACTAGTGCCACACCATTCATCACTTGCTTCCTTCGTGTGCTTTGCACCCCGTACTCCATACTTCGTATTAATCTATTAAGGCTGTCAATAAGTAGCTTCCTCTATACTTATCGAGAGTTTCAAAGGACCCGCCATCCACCATCAGCCTGATGACCGAACAGCCGTTAGGATGCTCCGCGACGGTGTTGCTTTGGACGATGATTGAGCCAGTGGATAGGACACAATGAGTTTGAGGGAGCAAGAACCGTATTCTCGGCATACCCGAGCTATGGCCGGAGTTGGGCTATCCATGCGTGAAGGACTGCTCTCCATTGTCTAACAAACTTGGTTGAGGGGAGCAAGAGTCAACAATGAAGAGACAACAGGTCAAGGAGAGAGGGGAAAAAAAGGATACCACGGCAGTTGAAATCCAACGGGCCATAAAGGAAATAGTCACATAAAGGCGCCTGAGCCACGGTGACAAAGGAATATTCACATTCGTTGGTTCTTGTGTCCACTGCCTTTGCCTATCCTTTCAATCCCTGTCACCCAGTTCTTTGAAAGAGGCAGCGGTTGCAATGCTTCGGCACCATGGCACGTCTATTTGAACTACTCCAACGAACCGGTCTACATTGCCTTGGTTTCTGTGCCAGACACAGTTCTTCTGTTGACCGAATACAATCAAGTAAGAAAGTTACCCATTACTTTCTGGCTCACCTCCAACGCTGAAAACAGTTCTGCTCTCCTTTTCCCTGACTTTGACCCATCAAGGGCGTCTAGTCAAAGCCACTCCCAACATGGCGCAATTTCCAGATCCAGCGCATGATGTACAAAAGCCGGAGCGTCTGTCATCTCTTCTTCCGGAGCTTCAGCTCGAGATCAGTAGGTACCTCGACTACCGTGACCTCAACAGTGTTCGTGCGACATCGCGGGCGATGTCGCGTTGCTTCGCTGACCCTGCGACTCTGTTGGTTGAGGAGATGTCGAGGGCGTGGGTTGAAGTCGAGGCTGGATTCCAAGACCGCTACTACGTGGATATGGGTTTGTGCCTATTAGATTCGCAACACAACCGCATGACCCTCCAACAAGAGGTGGAGGAACATGCCACGGTATGCGGTTTCTCCAAGATATTGGTCCAATGGCTTGTATATCCCAGTCGCCACCACTTTGCTTGTTCCAAGTGTCGTGTTGTGAAGCCGTGGGCCGAATTTCCGACCGACGGTCTCCGCCGCACATACCCTTTCAGTACATGCCTATATTCTGGCGCACCTCAGCAAGTTTACAAAGACATACTGGAATCTATGGTATGTGGCGATTGTTCTGCTGCGGGCCAACCCTACAGATATCACAATCTTGGACTCCGGGACACAGTGGTTTCCATCATTCAATGCCACAGATGCCACCTTATCAAACGCGCTCCGGCCGAACTGTCTTTTAAACTTCGTTTCTCAGGTTTCTGCCAACAGTGTTTTGCGGAGGTCAATCAGCATTGGTTTAGATACAAGGGTTTCTTGCAGGAGTGCCTCGCCAAAATGGAGAGCTACGAGAACGGAGAATACCTAAAAGCATTGTCATGGGAAGGGTTGCCTGAATGTCCTGTGCCGGCTGATTTCGTCGCAGCACTGAACAACCCAAATTATCGACCCCTTTCCAGTTACTCGCAGATCGCCTTTGCCCAGCTGTCGCTCAAGGCAGCCAGACTTCACCGTGCAACCAGACTTCGATTGAGCGGGCTTGAAGCAATCACCGAGCCGTGAGATCCTCTCCTGACTGAGCGAACGGCGCACAATGAAGAGGCCTGGGGGTGCACATGCAACCCACATCTTCTGATTGCAGAACCTAGCGCCACACAAGTAAGTCTTTCCAAGGCTCGCAGATACAACTCTCTGTCATCCACGTTTTCAACGACTTATCCGCAGTTACGATTCCCGTTTCCAGCCAAGAGTGGCCCCAACCCTGTTTTCTCGAGTTTTACCTTCTAACAATACCGTAGACGAGCGTTGTTGTCCCCTTGATGGCACCGGGTTGATCACCGGGTATCGAGTGATCCACACATCAAAATGTTGGAACAAGAACCAGGTTAGATTGTGATAGGATGAGGAGGGCGAAGGAAGGTTCTCAGGATAGACGTGTGGCTATCATCCCTAGGTAGTACAACAAATGAATTCCTCTGGGAATTTACATATGTCTTCTTCCATCCCCCCCTGCTCACTTCAACAGTACCTGCAGCCTGTTTTCCTCCTCTTTGGTCTCTTGTCTCGTCTCTTATTCAATTTGGCTTTCCCAACATTATCACCCTTGCCTATGGGGACTTTCAACGTGGGCAAAGTAGGAAAAGCCTTTCGGAAGTCCTGGAGGTTCCTGGAAGACTCCGTAGGGATACAACTCTGGAAAAAGAAAGGGAAACTGGAGACTAGAGTGCAAAGTCAAGACCACAAAATGGTTGCTGTCTCTTTTCAATCGGACTCTGCCGACATTATCTCGCACTGTTTGAGGCTCACACCAAAAAATCCCACCCAGAGTCTCGCACGGCTCCGAATCCAATGATGAAAACAGTTCCAATATCCAACCGTGCCCCTGAACACACATGTCCCGTCATTCTGTCTGTTGTCGTCACTCTACCACGCCCTCCTTGTCAAGCGCCGTCTTTGCCAGCCCGACAGGCAGCTTCACAGGACGGGCAGATGCGAGACTCCGTCGACCGAGCAGGCACCGCAGTGTGATCAATAGCCCAGCATCGCTGACATCGGGTCGCTCGACTGGCTAGCTGTGATGGACTGGGATGCGAGGTAAACTGTCTCTCGGTGTCAAGTGGAGTCTCTTGGGACGCAGCCAGACACACTGAACAGATCCCAACCTTCTTGCCTTCCGCATCCACCCTCCTCAGCAAATTGCACACCTTGCATACAACCAAGGTACATCCCCCATCCTTTATGATCGCCCCCTTCTCCCAGATCCTTTTCTTCACTCCACACGCCTTGCAAAACCGTCTATGGCCGTCTCTGTGGCCCAGGCTCCGACTCCCTGTGACTTGGCCCTTCACGAAGCACTCCCGCGGCAGATGCTTTAGGCACGCGTAACAGTTCAACCGTTCCGCCCTGGTGATTCGGTTGCGGTGAATGTTGTTGGAGTCGTTGGTGGTGTTTGCTGCGTCGCCCTGAACGGACTGCGGGAAAACGACTGCCCAGCGACGTTGGTTCGTAAATGCCTCTTGACGGCGCTGGTGGTCGGCATGTTCTTCTTCGAGGAGAGAGGCTCTAATTCCCTGGCGGAGTCGCATTATCTTGGCCAGCGGCACCATTGCCGCTGCCGGAGGACAAGTTTGTCGGAAGGCAGCGATGGACTCGTAGTCCAGA